AGGAGTCTCCTCACCAGCCCATTCTGAGTATGTTTTGGTCATTGTTGCAGTTGGCTAGCATTAATCCTTGTCTTTGCGACAATTCGGTGCACTCTCAAATATCCTTTGATAATTTTCTTTAAGTTTTATCATTCAATATCCGGTTCTACTGTTGTAAACAATAGGCATTACTGATACACATGAATTCATCTTACTGTGAGAATCAACAGTGAGGCCTTCAACACTGATGTGTGAAACTTTGTCCTGTAGAAAAATTAAGAAGCATGAAACTATCAGAATCAAAGTATGCATGTTTTCGATCCAAAACACCAAGTACAATAAGACACCATGATTAAGTCAAGACTAGGGAAAAGGAAATCCCTGCATTATAAGCTTTCTTTGTTAGAGTGAGAAAGATGGTCCAGTCTATATATGAGTCATAATTTGGACCCATAATTTAAGCAAATTGTAGAAGTAGAGTCTAGAAGGTTTTCACACACACACACATTTATTTTTGCCTTATTTTCAGTTCTGTATGAGGGAGGATGAAACCCTGGTGGTGCAGGGTAAGCACTGGGCTGCTAATAACCAAGTTGGCAGTTGGAATCCATCAGCCACTCCTTGAAAGAAAGATGAGGCTGTCTGCCTCTGTAAATTTTAGTTTTAGAGACCTAGCTCTGGTACCACAGTGGTTACAAATTGGGCTGTGAACCTCAGGGTCAGCAGTTCAAAACTACCAGCTGTTCCACGGGAAAAAGATGAGGCTTTCTGCTCCCGTAAAGATTTTCAGCCTTGGAAACCCTGTACAGGGTCACTATGAGTCGGAACCGACTCCACGGCACATAACATATAGGATGGCCAGACTTCATCTCACACACTCTGAACATGTTATCAGAAGGAACCAGTCACTGGAGGAGGGCATCATGCTTGGTAGAGGGTCAGCCAAAAAGAGGAAGACCCTCAAGGAGATGAAATGACAATGAGAGGCTGGCACAATGGGCTCAAACACAGTGACTGTGAGGATGGTGCAAGACCAGGCAGAGCTTCATTCTGTGGAGTTGGAATCTAATTACAACAAGAATACAAGAGTGCTGATTAATAACATAGCTTTTCTTCCTTTTTCACTAGTGTCTAAAAACCCATGGGATCGGGTTAAAACTCAATGTCTGGTGTTGGAAGGAAACCATTACAACTGGTGGTGGGTGGTGGTGGTGGTTATGTGCCATGGAGTCGGTTCCGACTCATAGCAACCCTGTACAGGTTTTCAGAGGCTGTAAATCTTTATGGGAGCAGAAAGTCTCATCTTTCTCCCAAGGAACAGCTGGGAGTTTCGAACTGCTGATCTTGCAGTTCATAGCCTGATTTGTAACCACTACGCTACCAGAGGGGGTGGTAAAGTGTTGGAAAGAGCGGCAAGGCAGGCAAAAAGAGAAACCGTCAAGATGGTTTCTCTTCCTTGGAAAGCAAAATCATTTATGATTCCTTGTCAAGCACACAGAAGAGCATTCCTCACATTCGTTCTCATTGTGCACATTCTTTAGCGCTTCAGCCATCCCTCCCCTGGGGCACAAAGGGACAGACTCAGCCCTAATCTGCCTTGCATTTCTAGGGGCTTAACCCTGCTTTCACAGCGTGGTTCCCAGTTTCTGCAAATCCTTCACATCCCTGTTCACAACTCTTCTGCTTTGACAGAAAACTTGGCTTTCTCCCATCCCCTGGACTATTTCCAGTTCTATCCCAGCACCCTTGTCCCACCAGGTAGAAATTGGGTGGAACAGAGAAGAGCAAATGGTGCTCCTTAAAGCAGAGCTACCACTGGGGCTGAATGTTTTGGCCATCTGATTTCTCTCATGCCTTCCGGACAAGATAAGGGGTCCCAATCCTCTTTGATCTCCTTTTCTGAGGACAATGATTTCACATATTTTCTATAAACATGTTTTATCAACAATTTTATTCTTGAGAGTTTGAAAAAATTCATTTTAGTTTCACAACTCATTATTGGTAATGCAACATTTGAGAACTGTCATGAAATCTCTGCAAGCCTGTGTGGAATGTACTCCAGTCCAGCTATCAAGAGACCGAAGGGCTTCCTTTCCCCACCTCGGCGGCGGCCTTCTCCAGCAGCCTCCCATGTCTCCGGTATGCCCTGGCCCACAACTTAGCCATAATCAGCCTTCTCCGAGGGCAGGTCTAGGTTTTGTGAGGCCCTCCCCATGTTCATCAGGTGTCATGTGGCACAGGACACACATCTGTTACAACGTAACCGTGCTACTGGCATTCTTGGAACCTCTGCCTTCATTCAGACGGCTACAAAAACTTGACTGTGAGCCACACCTCAGACTCAAGTTCAGGAAGACTTGCTAGTATGGTGGGAACCTGGCTCTGGTCTTAGCCCATCAGAGCAGTGCCCAACCTCATAATCCTGGGTCTCAGTTTCACCAGTGCAAGTGAGGCAAGTCTGGCAGGGCTAGGAGGCAGCGAGACAGCCTGTTGCCGCCCTTGAAAGGATGGGCTGGGGGGAACACCAGGAGACGGTCAGTGAGGGTCACCCCAAGTCTTCTTCACCTTTTGAGTCACTGAATGTACCCGCGCCTGGGGTTTCTGCATCTGAGACTTTCAGATGAGTTTCATTGGCTGGTCTGTTGGCTGAGGTACAAGGCACCCTGACTTGCCCAAGAACTGGCCAATCTGGTAAAGCCAGGACATGACTCTGCTGCTTCTTTCCATGCAACTAGGCCTCAGTGGGCAGGGGGTGATGGTCTTGAGGGGCCTTTGCAGCTTGCTCCATGCCTTCATGAACATTTTCACAGTGCTAATGTGGAGCTGGACTCCTACACTTCTTTGTATTTCTTTCCAAAAAATTAAAGAACCCACATGTCCAGACTTTCCTAACAATCCAAGGTAACTGGAAGAGGAGGGGGAGTTTTACGAAGTGATTCTCCAGTGTCCCTGCACTCCCGACTTTCTCTGTCTGGCCCAGCTGGTGCTTGGTGTGTGCTTGCCTGGCAGCCAGGAAAGCACTTGGGCTCTCTTCTCTGGCTCCCTAGGGGAGTGATACCCGCTGCTTGTCCACACACTGGGAGATCTGCTACTTCTCATTAAGGTGAATGACAAGATAAAATGGCCAGACCTGGGCGGATTCCCTCTAGTACCACGGAAAGGCCTCAATCCCCTTTGTCAGAGGAGGAAGGACAAGGTGAGAAAATGAAATCAACGAACCAAGGCCTTGTTAAATATCTTGAGGGAAGTATTCAAGGACAATAAGGATTGATTGTCTTATGATTCATTAAAGGAGTGTGGTGGTTCTGTAGAATAAGCACTGGACTGCGAACCTCAAGGTTGGCAGTTCGAGCACACCAGTCCCTCTATGGGAAACAGATGAGGCTTTCTGCTCCTGCAAAGATTTAAAGCCTCAGAAACCCTATACAGAGTTGCCACTATGAGTCAGGACCAACTTGATGGCACTTCACAACATGCTGATGCATTAGAATGAATATTCAGTTTTATCAGGTTAAGACAGTCTGGTCAGTTGCCAACTCAACTGAACATTAAAGCAACAAGGCTTAGAAGCCTTGTCGAGGAACTGGGAGATATGGCCAATAGGACTGTTTGAGGTCAGAATAATAATGACTATTCAAAAAATGTAACTTAAAAGAGTCTACTTTACTGTTAGCTGTAAACTACCTTGAACAGAAGGGCTGAGTTGAGGTGGGTCATTCTGCTAACAGTCTGGTTTTTATGGCCTTTTAGGGTTACCCTCTGTCACCTCGCTTATGATGCCCACAGAGGTTGGTCACAGCTCCGGTGGAAGATTTAAACTCAGCCTGGGAGAGAGGTCCTCAAGTCCAAGTGAAGCACAAAACTTTTTCAATTACTGCACATGCTGGTGAAGCCTTTTTATATGAAAATAATGATGATAGTAGTTGGGATAAAAGTATTTTAACACTGCACCTTTCTCACCAAAACATTTTTCATAAGAAAGGCCCAGGTCAAAAGTTGTTGGAATTTTCCCGTGCTCCATCCGCACTGGCACACACTGAGGAAAGTAATTCCCCTAAAAGCTCAGACTCTGATCCAATGAAACTCTGCTCATACCTCATCCAGGAGCCATGACTCAGTGAGAATCAGAGATTACAAAGCCATAAATCAACGGGACCGAAAAGACAGTTCTGACGCATTTGACAAACACATTACACAAAAGAATGTGATGCAAGCAAGAGTAAATCTACAAGAGAAAAAAATACCAAGTAACATGATGTGTTACATTGTGGTTACCAGCTCTCTTAGGAATTTCAAATCCCCATTTTGGTTGATAACTGATCTAGTAATCCCTTGTAATGTTTCTAAAACACATCCCATTCCCTCACCTGATGACCATCTTTGAAGTATATCATGTGAACTTTTTTTCTTAGCAGTCAATACTTAGCAAAATACAACTAGGGTTGGCTGAATTTCATCCCTAAGGGGTGCCGCTCTCACAGTGGGTGGGAACTTGTGTCTCCCCTTGCCCCAGGCTTGGGTGTGCTTTGCTCCCCCTGTTGGGTGGGTTGGAGAAGATCAAGGGAAACTTGAAGGATCTTGACTCTTTTGGATGAAGGATTTCTTAGGGAAGAGAGTCTAGCATTCTCTTGTATAAAGAGAACCTCTGATTCCCATGGATCAAAAGAAAAACAACACAAATTACCTGACTTGAAAAACAATTGACTTGTGGGAAGGGCTAAGATGCTCTCTAAATTCATAAGTAGTTCATGACCAATTTCTTGGTCCAAAGACTTTGAAATAGTCAAATAACAGTTGTGCACCATGGCTTGAGATGGGAATACAGAAAGAAAAAAAAAAAAAAAAAAACAATTTCCCAACTAAACTTTTCTTTAGTGATTCTCTAAGTGTCATCTCACAAGGCAAAGAGGATGAACAGCCCACTTTTCCATTCCATGCAGTACGCATGCCAGGCCCTCCCATGAGGTCAGGCTCACAGCTCAGATGGGGCACTGACTGCACAAACTCTGACTGTTCGTCCCTCAACTGTGGTGAGCCTGACCCACGTGCTCTGCCCGGCTAGGCACGACTTGAGCCCGCAGCTCCGTAAGGAGTTCTCTGACCACTTTTCCGGATGTAGGGGCTTCGATGCACAGCTGATCCCATCTATAGAAAGTCTGGTCAAGAAAGCCGATAACCTCATGGGTTCTCTCTTCAGTTTGGGCTATCTGCAATGAGGACAGAAAGATGGCAGATGAAAACACTGTCCAGACATTTTCTGTGCCACTTGTTAGGATCTCTGAAAATCAGCACATTTCTCTGGGCTCTGAAGCCCACCACTGAAAGTCTCCTGTTTTGAAGGCAATTAGCAAAGCGAGTCTGTTCTCCAAGGCTGGCAATGAATGTTAACAGTGATTCCTAGTAATCCAGTTGAAAGGTTCAGTTCAGCAGTGGACAGTGTTAGACTCACGAGGCTCCTAAGGAACTTGTCCTGAGGCGAGCACGGGATGGATGCTGCCTTAAGCTTTGGGACTGTTTGCAGAGGGGAGAGAAGGCAAACGAACATGCTGCGGCTTGACTTTCTGCAAAGCCTTACTCTCTCATGTTCCCACACACCTGTTTGCAAACACAGCTTGTACATGGCGTTCTCCGATGAGCCACCCAGCCCACTTGTTTTTTAACAGGCATCTAAGGCTGCATGCTGGGACCTGCAGGACAGAGCTGGCTGCCAAGATGAGGAAGAGCCCGTGGGTTGCTGTCAGTCGGAACTGACTTGACGGCAGTGGGTGGGGGTTTTGGTTTAAAGCAGTAGCACCTGATTCTCACAGAGAGGCTAGAAACATGGGAAGCATTAGACATTCATGGGATCCATAAGCATTTCCCTAAGAATTTCAGTTGAGATACGAGGAGGGGTGAGACACATAGCAGCTTAGAGTTGGGCTGCTAGCATAAAGACTGGCGGTTCAAACCCACCAGTTACACCACAGGAGGAAGACAAACCTGTCTCCTCCTGTAAGGATTTACCATGTCAGAAACGCTACAGAGCAGTTCTAGAGGGTTGCTGAATCCAAATGGACTCAAAGGCAGTGAGTTGTCTTTTAATAAAGTGTTTGAAAGGCTCCTGGGCAGTGTTTCCTTTAGCTGTACAGAGATAGGCATGAGTTTAGGACCAACGAGGCAGCAGCCACCAACAAGTTTTGAAAAAGTGAACCTACACATTCGCTATCTGGGGTCCAGTTCACATAGAAACCTCAGTCCAGTGTTTACTCACACATAATGGTCCAGTTTGCTTCCCCAGGATTCCTCAGTTTTGTGTTTGTGTAACCAGCACCCTGGTGTACTGGGTTAGGGGGAAAGTCTCTTACAGTCCACATGCTACAATCACCCACACCTCTCAGCACCAGGGGCCTCTGCTGTAGTTGTTGTTCCCACTCATAGGCACCTGCTGGTGGGTCTGGACAGCCGACCTTCTGTATACCAGTCTAGTGCTTATCCTACAGTGCCACACCAGAGCCCAAAGGTCTCTAACCACAACAGAATCCTGCCTCACTCCTACCAAGAAAGGAAAACCCACATCCTGCTGGGCCTGGCTGGTGTGGGTCTCTAGAGTGAAAGAATTCATTTTTAAGTCAACAACCATAGTACTAAACTTCAGATTCTTGCTTTCTTTTTGTTGTTCTAGCTGTTGCTTCAGCAGCAGTAGACAGAGGAGGAGAGATAGGAATTGAAGGTAAGAGGCAGGCAAGGATGAACCGCAGGGCTCCAAACAGGTTGCTTTTACACCTCATCCTCATCAAAGAACCAAGGAGGGTTTAGATAGTACAGATGGGAGAAGGGCCAGCAGCCAGAGAAAAAGAATAAGGGTGAGAGGGAAGTTTCAGGGGACTCCTCAGAAGCCCAGACCACTGCCTGCTGAGGTGTGGAAATGGGTGGTCCGCTAAACCGAACCCAATACACTGTTATCCAGATGATTCCAACTCATAGCAATACTACAGGACTGAGCAGAATGGGGTCTCCGAGACAGCAGATCTTTACAGGAGCAAACATCCTCATCATTGTCTCTCACAGGGACTGGGCTTAAACCGCTGACCTTTAGGTTAGCAGCCCAATTCTTAACCCACTGAACCCTAGGGCTCATTGGGTGGCCCACATAGGTAGCAAATTTGAACATCAGGGCATGATGTGGCTGTGGGACTCCTTATCCAAAGCAGTCTCTCTGTGGCTTCAGAGAGCTTTGGGGGAGGAGGATGTGCAGAAGGGCCGCAGGGTCAGAGTTGGTGCTGCCCCAACACAGATGGCAACCAACGAGCCGCTGCAGCACCCTGTAATCCAAAAGGCTCATGCTGACTTTCCAAAATGGCTTTTCATGTTGGAACAATGCTAGATTTACAGTAATACTGCAACAATAGTAGAGTTCTTTTATACCCCACCCAGTTTCCCCTGTTATTAACATCTTAAAATAGCATGGAATGTTTGTTATCAGTTAACAAACCAATATTGATGCATTCGTCTTAACTCAAGTGCAGACTTCAGCTGGTTTCCTGAGTCTTCCCCTCAAGTCCCTTCCATGTCCCCGATCCCACTCAGGACACCACATGGCTGTCATGTCTCCCGAGCTCCTCTTGCTGAGGCAGCTTCTCAGGCTCCCACGACCAGGACGGTTCCGTGTTGACACTGATAAGGTGTTTTGTCAAATGTCCCTCATGGTTACACTAGGCTGTATGTATGGAGAATCATAACACCTGGTAAGGGCTGGCGTGATCAATCGCTGTACACATGGACCCGGACCAGCAGGCTGAGGTAGAGTCGGCTGCGTTTCTTCACTGTACCATCACTCTGTTTTTCCCCTCTCCCTTCTCAACTGTTGGCTGTGGCATGGCTTCCTGACACAGAGCCCACACTGAAGGGTAGAGGGCCAAGCTCCACTTCCTTAATAGCAGAGTAGCTACATACATTGTTTGGAATTCTCTGACACAAGAGATTTGTCTATTCTCCCCACTTATTTGCTCAATTATTTATGTTAGTATGGACTCATATTTATTTCATACTTTAGGTAACAATTCTGTGGCTGAGATTGCCCCATCTCTGGTCACTGAGCTCTTTTAGGTGGCTCCAGTGTCCCTCTGACACTGTGGGTTTGCTTGCCTTTTTGTTTTTAATAGCACTGCCTTCATTTCTAACACTACAAGGTGCTCCAGGCTCATTTTGTATATTTCCTGGCTGTATCCTAGAATCAGCTATTTCTCCCAAGAGCCCGTTCCTTTTTGTTACTGGTCTAAGAATGGTCTTAGAAACCCAGATCGGTTCACTAGAGGGGCTAGCGCACCTTGACTGAGCTGACAAAGTAAGGAGAAAAAATGTGTTTCTGACCAATATACTCACAACCCATCTGTAAATATATAGCCATCTATATCCATATTTGGGGACGCTGTGGCTATATCTGATAAGCTCTAGACTGCTAACCACAAGGTTCATGGTTTGAACCCACCAGCTGCTCTGCAGGAGAAAAATTTATTTATTGTGCTCTGCTCCCACAAAAATTTATAGCCTTGGAGACTCTCTCTACACTGGGCTACTATGATTGGAACTGACTCCAAGGCTCTTAATAACATGTCCAATTTAAGCAAAGCCTGAGTTCATGCTGACGTCTCCAGTGTAATCTACTAGCAAACGAATTATTCTAGCCTCCTCCCTTTGATTATGTCTCCCACTCCAGCAAGGAGAAATCTGGCCCCAGCATCCTGCCATACACTTATTATATTGTTCAATTCCAGTATATCAAGTCATTTCAGAATTGTCAGACATTTCCCAGGAGACATAACCGTATCCACTAGTGTTTTACAGTCGACAAGCACTTTCCACGTTAAGGTCACCACCTTGCTCCCCTGGCACCTTCAGTGAGGTGGTCTCACTATCACCATTCTGTGGTTTCATTCTGCATTCCATCCTGCGAGTCTCCCTAACCTCCTAAATGATTTCTCACTATTAATGCTCTGGTGGTGCTATAGGATAAGCACTGGGCTGCTAACCATAAGGTTGACGGTTCAAACCAACCAACCGCTCTGCATGAGAATGAGGCCTCGGAAACCCTAGACAGGGTCACTCTGAGTGGGAATAAACTCGATGGCAGTGGTGTTAGCGCTGTAGAGTTCAAGGGGTTTGACAAACGTTTAATATCTTGTGTTCCTCATTATAATATCACACAGAACAATTACACCACCCTAAAATATTATTCTCATGTTTACCATTTCTATAGTTTTGCCTTTTCCAAAAGACCATATAATTGGAAACATACAGTATGTAGCTTTTTCAGATTGGTTTAGTAATATGCATTTAAGATGCATCTGTGTCTCCTTGTAGTTGAATAGCTTATTTCTTTTTATTGCTGAATAATATTTCATTGTAGCATACTGGTTACGAATCGGGCTGCAAACCGCACGGTCAGCAGTTGGAAACTACCAACTGTTCCGAGGGAGAAAGATGAAGCTTTCTGCTCTGGTAAAGATTCACAGCCTCGGAAACCCTGTACAGGGTTGCTATGAATCGGAACCAACTCTATGGCACATCACCACCACCACCAATATTTCATTCTAGGGATGTATGTTGTTGTTGTTGTTGTTAAGTGCCATCGAGTCGGGTCCGACCCATAGCGACCCTGTACAGGGTTTCCGAGGGTGTAAATCTTTACGGGAGTAGAAAGCCTCATCTTTCTCCCGCGGAGCGGCTGGTAGTTTCGAACCGCTGACCCTAAGGTTCGCAGCCCGATTCGTAACCACTACGCTACAGTGTGTTTATCCAATTACCCATTGAAGGGCATCTTTGACAATTACGAGTAAAGCTGTTATAAACATCTATGTGCAGGTGTTTGTGAAGACGTGTGTCTTCAGCTCATTTGGGCAAATATTTAGGAATGAGATTGCAGGATTGTATGGTAAGACTATGATTAGTTTTACAAGAAACTGTCTTCTGATGTGGCTGTACCATTCTTGCATTCCCATCAGCAGTGAAGGAGAGCTACTGCTGCCCCTTATCCTTGACGGCTATTGACATTACCAGGTTTTTGGATTTTAGCTGTTCTAATAGATGTGCAGTAGCATCCCATAGTAGTTCTGCTATTGTTTTTAAATGATTTGAGCATACTGAAATGATTTAGCATCTTGGTTCAAAATAATCTAGTAAAGCAAGGGGTGTAAAGTGAAACAAGATGGGCCATGAGTTGATTGTTGTAGTTGGATGGTGGGTAAATGAGGGTTCTTTATTTTTGTATTTGTTTTAATGCAAAGTTAACAAAGAATTGATTTTTTCTTATGAGGAAAAGGAATTTAAAAAAGGGAAAGGCAGCTGCCATTCATTTGAGACTGCATCTCATCCCAAAGCCCAGGCTGGCAGATTCCCCCACTTATGAGAGGGAGCAGGTAAAGGGAAGCGTGTGTTCAGAAGAAGGCAGGACAGACAATACTTGGGCTCTTGTGCCTCTTGAATAGAGTCTGTTCAGAAGGTGAAATGGAGGGAATCTTGGTAGTCAGACTCTGTGACTTTGGTCAGTCCTTCACTTTGTAAACCCCTCAGAGGGGAGGGGATGTGCAAAGCTACAGATGAGCTCTGCCCTGGCACTGAAGAGGCTGGGCTGAAGCCTGGTTGTGTGCCCTCTGCTTCCCATGGTTCCACTGGGGCTCTGGCCCCTTTCCTTTGAATTCTTCAGGCTTGGGTAGGCTGTAGGTCAGTAAGGGAAGCCAAGTGGAGGGTTTCTTGGTCAAAAGGTGGGAGAAAGCATCTCTCTGCCCTTACTCCTCTAGGCTGGGCATGCTTTCCCCTTGGCTGCCACAGAAGAGAGTCTAAGATGCCATGCTGTTGGATGGACCAGGCACAGCATCTTGGTAGTGGGTGAACTACTACTTTCTCATTGGAGAAATATTATGTATTGAATGCTCAGCATTGGGCCTGGGACATCTTGAGAAAGAGAGCTCCTTCCTGTCCCCTTGACTAACCAGGGAACAGCAGGGCCTGTTCTAATTTTCAGGTAGTGTCTGCTAATGCCTCATCTATGGATAATTCCTATTTGCCTTTTAATGTTACACAAATTAGTTTTCACTTTGAAACCTACTTGCAGCAAATTCTTCATCACAATCAATTTCGCTTGCTGCATGTATAGCTTTTAAATCATTGAAAAGGCTTCTTTTCTTGCACTAAAGTAAGGCTAAATCAGAACCGTATGTACCTGGTTCGACTTACTTACAAATTCTTAAAGATACAGTTGCCAATTGATTTATTCATAATTCACTGGCTGATTGTATTTGCAAAGAACTCGTAATAGGTCCTGATTTAACTCCCATGTATAAAGAGTGGGAACATTTAAGCTCTTTTAGCCATTCTCCTTAAGGTCATTGAAGGGAAACCTGGATGCTCACTGCCCACTGAAAGCAGGGCCCAGGTGAGCACAGCGGCAGCTCCATCAGGACCCCTTAAGGCTGGGACAACACTGCCTGCCCCTCACATTCCCGCTTTGATGATTTGGCTATTACAAATTCAATCTCAGAATGTAGGCCAGTAAAAAGAGACGGCATCTGGTAAGGTCAAACACAAGTTGTCCCAGAATCAAAGAGAAGGAAAACTTGAAGGGCCTAGAGATCATTATGCCAGCCCCTTCAAGTCACAGGTGAGGTAACAGAGGTAGCGCAAATAAGTGGAAGTATGAAAACATTTTCACAGAAGCCTCACTGATTTGCTTGGGGAAAGGGAGGGATGGGATACAGTACAGGGCACTAAACTTGAGAGAACAATACAAGGAAACAGAGAATATGGGTTTGCTGTGTGGGTGGGTGCAGTGTGGGGCACTAGACTTGAGAGAGCAATGCAGGGAGACAGAAGGCCTGGGTTTGCTGCTACCCAGGAGCTGTCACTGTATTTCCCTGTGCTCTGCTCTCTCTTCTGTACACCCTGACCAATCATCTATGGTGGGCAGAACTCTTCAGAGAAAGATAAGGCACCGCTTACCTACAGTGCTGAAGAGAATAAGGATGCTGGAGAAGGGGACACTTACAAGGGTGATGAGTTCCCAGGCGACTGTGTGGCCTCCGGGAGCCCAGAGCAGGAAGCTCAGAAGGAGACGCCTGATCAGCTGCTGACATGCCAGCGGTCTAGGGGTGGCTTCCAGGCTCTCACCAGCTGCTGCCTGTAGGTCCTGGCTGGAGAGGGTTAGACTCCTGAACAGCTTCATGAGGCGACAAACCACGACCTTCACCTCTACCTGGGGGGTGTAATTTCAAAGGGTAAGAGATCTGGGAAGAGACAGACCTGCATATCTCTAGGATTTATTCAGTACTTTGAAGAGAGGACTAGCGCCCGAGGGTGGGGAGGCAGAGCGGCCCATGTCTGAGTTTACACACTGCTCCACACAAACGCAAATGTGCGTAATGGAAATTTCTTGACTTTCTTTGGTCTCGCTCACTGCTCACTAAGAAGCCAGGGCACCATGCCAGGAATTGACTTTTTTTTTTTTTTTTAATGAAAGGAAATGGAGAAAAGTCCTCAGCAGAATGCAGTCAGATTTTTATATTAGGGGAAAAAGAACAAAAAGCTCCTTGAAGACTCGCTGTCCTATTGTGGCCACAAATCAATTAAAGCCCCATTCGATGAACCTCTGCTGAGCCAACTTCCCTCTGTCTTGTGGAGGACACACACACACACCCCTCTTATTTTAGACACTGGAACAGTCTGTTCATACATGTCTAAAGCTCAAGCAGAGGTCAAAAGTCTGTGGAATCCACATAATAGCAATTGGCTGTTTTTGCATAAAAACATTTATTTCATGCTGAGACTTCAGCTTGCTTACAGGAATGGTACATCACATTGTAACTTGGAAAACAAAAGCAAAACCTGAAAGCCACAAATCCAAAATGCCACATGGAACTCATGAACAGCTATGTTCCTTCATCTTTGAAAGAATACTTAGTACTATTCTGAGAATTCCCATGACCGAGTTTGTAGATTTTGTACGAGTCAGTATTTTCCTGGAAGTTAAGACCCTATTCAGTGAAAGCTGCCATAAAGTCCAGTACACTAGGCATGTTGTGTAACCTCTTCTGACCCCCAAGGAAGATCGTGAGAAACTCTAACAAGGGGCTCCTCCACAGTGACTGGCACCACTCCAACAGAGAAGGCTACCCACTCACGACCGCCTATCAGGCTGGGACGGATGGGGTGGCCCTCATCCAACTGTGTCTATGGGAGCCTATGACCATCCTGCCACCAAAGTTTGTCTATACAAATGACAGTGCTTAGGAGCCTGTGCCTTTAAATCCTACAGTCTTATTGGCTGGTTTTTAATTTTCTATCCTGGTGTGGCACCGTAGGATAAACACTGGACCACAAGGTAGGTTTGAACTGTAAGGTCAGTGGTTCAAATTCACTAGCCACTCCTTGGAAACCCTATACAGGGCCACTATGGATCTGAACCAACTCGATGGCACTAACAACAACAACATGAGTCGAAATCAATTCAATAGCACTTAACAATAACAATGCTTGTCTTAATATTCCCTAAGACTTGGTCTTCTTCCTTTCTGGTTTGTCTTGGTCTTTCCCTTCCATGCATTCCATGTCCATAAGTTTCGACCTGTCATTCCAATAACTTTAAGTGCTTTCTGATTTTCAAGAGAAAGATGTATACTTTCTTTTCCCTGTATTATTAAAACGTATATATGATCATAGCAGGAAAGTTGAACAAAAGAAAGAAGTTAAAAAAAAAAGTGACTTATTATTCTATCACCCACAAAGATTACTGATTTTTTGGTTTCCACAGTTTCTGTGTTTTTACTATGTATTGAAAGCATACCATGCACTACACATACTGTGACTGACAGCTTTCATTTCACAGTACAAGATGCAACTTAGTATTTCTACAGAATATATTCTTTTTAAGAATGGGATTTTTCCATGGTAGAATGCTATTTCATGGTTAAGATATACCACAATTTATTTAGCCAATATCCTATTAAGAATTTCGTCCATTTATACTTTTTGCAATTATAAGCAATGTTGTGATAAACATCCTTGTGCATAAATCTGTGTATAGTTCTTTAGTAATTATTTCCTTAGGATACTTTGCAGAAGTTAAAGGGTATGAACCTTTGCCTAATTCTTATGCATCGACATAGACATTTTTGTTTTTATCATGATCCCAATTAAAATTAGCCACAAGAAACAAACACTGGCTGGCAGAGAGCCCGGATTGGGGAGGGGCAGCCCTTTGTGCAGATAGGACCTGCCCCAGGCAAAGACACTCTTGCTCTTTGCTCTCGAGTTCATAGACTGTAGAGGGCAGGCAGGCAGTACAGGCAGCCACTCCAGCTGCCACACACACAAGCAGGGCACAGGCACTGTCAGGCTCAGTCAGATCCCACTGTGTTCATGCCTTCTAATACAATACATAGTTTGCTTCTCAAGGTCATCAAAATATTAAAGCTCACAAAACCCAGGAGGGAGCAAGAGGTATGGGGTACTAGCTAAACAAGGATATGAGGCTCCGCACACACCAGTGCCTCATACAGGACACCAGCAAGGAAGTGATTCTGGAGTCACTAGTAAGAACATTAATAATGAGGAGACCTCTGATATTGTTTTTGTTATGTGCTATGGAGTGGGTTTCAACTCATAGCGACCCTTTATAGGGTTTCCAACACTTTTAAATCTTTTGTAGGAGCAGAAAGCCTCATCTTTGTTTCACGGAGCTAGAATGACTCATAAATAAAGGAATACATTGGTATTAAATGACTCTTAATCCATTTTTACCCAAGATGTCTAAACTTTTTCAGAATAAGTGACAAAGCATAGATTTTAAAAAAAAAGGGTTAGACATCAGAAAAATGTGCCAATGCAGAACCTTCTAGAAATTATACCTTGACAACTTATTTTTCCAATTTCAAGTGAATCTTTGTCAAGATCTTATTATCAATATGACATTTATCTTATCTGTCAATTTAGCTTATGCAGGATCAAATATGAATTACATGTAAAAGGGTTTTAGAAACTATGAGCGGTTCACACACTTAAATTATTAAAAATAAGATGATAAAAATCATAAACTAGGATTTTCCATAGTTTAAGTGGTATTTTTTAGGGAAAGGCTTCTTTTAATTAGATGTTGTTGTTGTTAGGTGCCATCGAGTCGGTACCGACCCATAATGACCTTATGCACAGCAGAACGAAACACTGCTCGATTCTGGGCCAACCTCACTACTGTTGCCACGCTTGACTCCATCAATACTGCCGCTTGGCCAATCCATCTCGTTGGGGGTCTTCCTCTTTTTCTCTGACCCTCCACCTTACCAAATATGATATTCTTCTCCAGCGACTGGTCCCTCCAGACAATATGTCTGAAGTATGAGAGATGAAGTTTGGCCATCCTGGCCTCCAAGGAACACTCTGGCTACACTTCTTCCAAAATGGATCTATGGTTCTTTTGGCAGCCCATGGCACTTTCAATACTCTCCTCCAACACCATAACTCAAAAGCATCAATTCTTCTATGGTCTTCCTGATTCACTGTCCAGCTTTCACATGTATATGAGGTTATTGAAAATACCATGGCTTGGGTCAGGCGCACTTTAGTCCTCAAGTTGACATTTTTGCTCTTCAACACTTTAAAAAGGTCTTGTGCAGCAGATTTGCCTAATGCAATACGTCGTTTGATTTCTTGATTGCTGCTTCCGTGAGTGTTGATAGTTGATGCAAGAATGAAATCCTTGGTCGCTTGGAAGTGCTGCCACCGGGTGGGAGTCATGGAAAGGGGGAGTCGCGGACGCCACGAACGGTGCCGCTACTGCCATGCCGTCGTCACCACTGCGGGTGGCAGTGGTGTGCTCGAGTAACCAGAACCGGAGCATGGAGACACACAACATCCTCAGCAAACGAGGATTCAGTGTGCGATCCTTCGGGACAGGGACCCACGTGAAGCTCTCAGGACCAGCCCCAGACAAGCCGAATGTCTACGATTTCAAAACCACATACGATCAGATGTACAATGTTCTTCTTAGGAAAGACAAAGAACTATACACACAGAATGGCATCTTACATATGTTGGACAGAAATAAGAGACTCAAGCCCCAGCCAGAAAGGTTCCAGAACTGCAAAGACCTATTTGATTTGATCCTCACCTGTGAGGAGCGAGTCTATGACCAAGTGGTGGAAGATCTGAATTCCCAGGAGGAGCAGGAGACCTGCCAGCCAGTGCATGTTATCAACGTGGACATCCAGGACAACCACGTGGAGGCCACCCTGGGGGCCTTCCTCATCTGTGAGCTGTGTCAGTATATCCAGCACACAAAGGACATGGAGAACGAGATTGACGAGTTGCTGCAGAAGTCTGGGGAGAAGAGTGGCCAGGCCTTCCTGCACACTGTCTACTTCTACTGACAGTGCTGTGGACCCTGTCTCAGACCCCCTTGGACCCCCGCCGCCTGGGAGCGTCTGCACACTGCTTCCACTGATGTGGCTCTGTGGAGCCCGCCACCTCGGTGCTTCCTTTGTGAATACTGTTTCTTCTCAATTTTGTTTTTACTTCTAGATATTGTGCCAGTGGGTGGTAGTCTTCCCAAATCAATAGTACATATGAAATGAGAAGGTATACATCAATGCCATAGAAAAAACAATCAAGTTTTTTCTATTCCACTTGTACCTGAGTGGGATATTGATTACACAGATTTTTTTTTCCCTTGAACCAAAAAAAAAAAAAAAAAAGAAAGCGGTTTATAGGACCTTTTCCCAACATGTATGTGTCTTTAGTTGTGCAGTTGTGTGAGCCTTTCTTTATCTCCCTCTCACTGGCTGACCTGTACAAATACCCGAATAAAGCAATGGACTGTGTATTCTCACACACACACACAAATGAATGAAATTCTTGACAACTTCAATCTTTTCTCCGTTGAGAAGAATGCTGTTTATTGGTTCAGTGGTGAGGATTTTTGTTGTCTTGACATTGAGATGTAATCGATACTGAAGGCTGTGCTCTTTGATCTTCATCAGTAAATGTTTTAAGTCCTCTTCACTTTCTGCAAGCAAGGTTGTATCATCTGCATATCACAGGTTGTTAATGAGTCTTCCTCTAATCCTGATGCCATGTTTTTCTTCATAGAACCCAGCTTCTCGGACTACTTGCTCAGCATGCTGGTTGAATAAGTATGATGAAAGAATACAACCTTGTCACACACCTTTCTTAATTTTAAAACATTCAGTGTTCCCAAGTTCTATTCGAACAACTGCCTCTTGGTCCAGGTACAAGATTCCTCATGACCACAATTAAGTGTTACGGAATACAAATACTTTGCAATGTTGCTCATAGCTTGTCATGATCCACACCATCGAAAGCCTTTGCGTAGTCAATAAAGCACAGGTAAACATCTTTCTGATATTCTCTGCTTTCAGCCAAGATCCATCTGATAGCAATATTAAAATACATATGTGGATTATGATAATTTCTTTATAATGTTTTATTTCTGATTCCAAATAAATTACCATCAAATTTCAACTTTTTAAAACATAAAACTCATTTCCTTTTCCTTGCCATGCAAGCTTTCAAACAAAATATATAGACTATTTATACTAGTATCTGATGTTTTCAAACACAAGCTATAAAACAAATATGAGCATTGCTCCATACATAATGAAACTTGTTTCCTGTAATTATTAAAATCAGCAAAAAGCACTGGCAGTTGAAGTTTCAAAGCTGGCAAATAAATGTTTGCAAGGGAGGTGCCAATGCCTTTAATCACAACGGTACTTCCTGTAATTATTATACGCCACACGATATAACAGTGGCCTCTGCCACCATTACCAAGCCCTGTACTTAACTGCTCTGCTATTCAGGAAATGTCCAAGTCCCTCTTCAGAAGCACAGTGGTTCATGTCATGTGATTCCTTCAGTAAGCATCCTAAACCAAGCTGATAATCCTAAATCATCCTAAACCAAGCAGGAGGCTCTGCCACCTGCTCCCAGAAAGCAGTCAGTGAAGCCTGGCGCAGTCATGCCAGGCTGCTGGTCAGAAAGAGGACACGGACTGAGGGCCAGAACCGCTGCAGGTTGCCACTCCTCTGAGAGTCCAGTCTGACCCCACAGGGACAGTCCCTAAGGGCAGTAGCCTGGGTTGGGCACATCCTGTCAGTGAAGCCCACAGGACACATGGCAGACCGTCTCAGTGCTTCCCAGTGTGTCTCCACTCAGCTCTCGGAAGGCCAGGAAGGCCCTCTGAGCAGAACCAGCCTGCAGCTACTCCCTGGTCATCCCATCTACTGCAGACTGTGTACTGAGCTGTGGTAACTTGGTGAGACTGTGTACTGAGCTGTGCTAACTTGGTGACGGCCAAACCCACTCCGGAGCCCCTTCCTGAGAGTGAGGCAGAAGCCCTCGCTGGGCCCTACCACTCACCATGATCTGTGCTCTCTGCTGATGCCCATCATGGGGGCTGAAGGAGAATGCCAGGAGCCACAGCAGGGCCTCTGGGGGGTCAGCTTCTGACATCAGTAACTGCTCAACCGCGATATCAGCCCACTCACCAAAGTGCATGAACAAAAACCAGCTCTCAAAGGCACCTCCGCAGGACCTGGAACAGAACCACAATTCATGACAGCGGTAACTTCATTTCTTTCTTTCCTGGTTCTTAACATGACTCAAGTGTCTGCAAAAGGTTGGCTTAAATTGTACTTACCCAATGAAGCACAAATTGAAAAGAAAGCAAGTTCGACTCAGACAAGTAACTCACGAAGCTCTCTAACCCATGCTGGGACATTCAAAGGGATGCCTCTCAAAGACCCCCAGGTATCCGGGGACTACAGGCATTGAAATCTGTACATCCAGGGACCCCAAAGAGCACAGGGACTTAGAGAAAGGAAGGTTGTGATCTGTGACCAACAGCATGGTGCAAAGTAAGAACCGCAGCCAGTTCCGCTCCATCTGCCTGACTCTTCAGCAATGAAGCTGGAGAGTTAGGCTTAGGTACAAACATGTTACTTTCTTTCTGACAAGACCGGGGCTACAAACTGGTTCAACACGCTGCTGAGAATTTGCCTTTACACCCCAGATATACTGAATCAGAATTTTAACAAGATCCTGGTGATTCTTAGAGGGCCTCAAGTGGATCTTGTTAAAAACGTAGATTCTGATTCAGTGCACCTGGTATGGAAATGCAACTTCTCAGTAGAGGGCTGAAGGTGAATGTAGCTGTTCAAAGGTTCTGATGGATAGTTTTGACAATTAGGAATTTTTAATGGGTTGTACACTGCACTCTTTTTTGTCATCACCTATACAAGGAGCTCTGGTAGCGTAGTGGTTACGAATCGGGCTGCGAACCTTAAGTTCAGCAGTTCGAAACTACCAGCCGCTCCGCGGGAGAAAGATGAGGCTTTCTACTCCCGTAAGGATTTACACCCTCGGAAACCCTGTACAGGGTCGCTCTGGGTCGGACCCGACTCGACGGCACTTAACAACAACAACAATACATCGAAGCTTGAGAAGTAGCTGCAGTCACAGCTGGCAGGACAGAATCTGATCATGGTGAGGACTAGTTAATCTCATACAGTGACACCTTCAGTCATTTAACATCTACCCCAGACACAAAGGAGGAGGAGGGACTCTGAGACAGCACTAAGTAGGTGCTTTCCTTCTGAACTAGAGGGTGTGGCTGGCAGAGGAGTATTTCAGGCCCCAAGAGGGAGCTCTGTCTTTGCTTAGATCTGGTTCCATCTTCATCTGCTTGGGCCAGGGAATTTCCTAGTCCTGGTGTGGTGCAGTAGTATAAGCACTGCACTACTTAACCACAAGGTCAAAAGCACTGGCATAGTCATAAAGCACAAGTAAACATCTTTCTGGTATTCTCTGCTTTCAGCCAAGATCCATCTAACTTCAGCAATGATATTCCTAGCTCCACGTCCTCTTCTGAATCCAACTTGACTTTCTGGCAGCTCCCTGTCAATATACTGTGGCAAATGCTTTGGAATTATCTTCAGCAAAATTTTACTTACATGTGATATTAATGATGTTGTTAAATGATTTTCACATTCCATTGGGTCACCTCTCTTTGGAATGGGCACAAAAATGGATCTCTTTAAATTAGCTGTCTTCGAAATTCCTTGGCATAGATGAATGAGTGTCTCCAATGCTACATCACTGTTGAAATATTTCAATTTGTATTCCCCATTAACTCCTGGAGCCTTGTTTTTTGTCAATGCCTTCAGTGCAGTTTGGACTTCTTCCTTCAGTACCATCGATTCTTGATCATATGCTACCTCTTGAAATAGTTGAACATCAACCATTTCTGTGTATTCCTTTCATCTTTGTTTAGTGCTTTCTGCATCATTCAATATTTTGACCATTGAATCCATTAACATTGCAAGTCAAGGCTTGATTTTTTCTTCGGTTCTCTTAGCTTGAGAAATACTGAGCATGTTCTTCCCTTTTGGTTTTCTAACTCCAGGTCTTTGCACATTTCATTATAATACTTGACTATGGCTTCTTGAATTACCCCTTGAAATTTTCTGTTCAGCTCTTTTACTTCCTTGTTTTTTTCCATTTACTTTAGCTTCCCTGTGGGCTTATGTATCAGACTGCAAAGTCATTTGACCTGCAAGGTCGGTGGTTCAAGCTCATTAGCTGCCTCTTGAAAACCCTATAAAGGGTCGCTATGGGTCAGAATGAACTCGACGGCCCTTAACAACAGCATACTCAAGAGCAAGTTTCAGAGTCTCTTCTAACATCCATATGATTGTCTTATTCATACTGGTAAATACCAGTCAATTTCAGCTCACTGATGACTAGGATATTGATCTTTGTGTGTTACATTTCATTTTTGACAACTTCCAATTTTCCAAGATTCATACTTTGTTCATTTCATGTTCTATTAATGGATGTTTGTAGTTGTTGCTCCTCATTTTGAGTTGTGCCCCATCAGTAAATGAAGGTCCCCATAGCTTTGTTCCATTCACGACATTATGGTCAACTTTATTTTGAGGAAGCAGCTCTTCCCATCATATTTTGAGTCCTTTTCAACCTGAGGGGCTCATCTTCCAGCACTATATCTGACAGTGTTCCACTGCTATTCAAAATGTTTTTAGTGGCTAAACATTCAGAAGTAGTTCTCATCTCCTTTTTCCTAGTCTGCCTTAGTCTGGAAGCTCCATTGAAACCTGTCCACCATGGGTGATCCTGCTGATATTTAAAATACTGGTGGCATAGCTTCCAGTATCACAGTGACACATAAGCCACCACAGTATGACAAGCTGACAGATGAGTGATGGACAAAGAACTTAGCATAGCCTCAATAGGTATGCTTTTAGGAACATAACAAATACATGTGGGTACTGAACTTCCAGACTAATGCAGACTAGGAAGGAAGGCCTAGCAATGAACTTCTGAAAACCCAATGGATCCAGTGATCAAATCTCATTGTGCTTGATGTTGCCATGAGCTAAGGGCAGACTTGACAGCAGCCAATAACTACAACTACTGTTATTTCTGGAGTCTTGGTGTGGTGCTGTAGGATAAGCATTCAACCTAAAGGTCGGTTTGAACTGCAAGGTTGGTGGTTCAAACTCACCGAACTCTCCTTGGAAACCCTATGTGTTTTGTTCTTTTGTGCATATGGTCACTATGTGTCAGAACTGACTCTATAGCACTCAACAATTTTCAGTGGTTAGGTGCTGTTGTTATGTGCTGTCGAGTTGTTTCTTACTCACACAGACCATATGCACAACAGACCAAAACACTGCCCAGTCTTGCACCAGCCTTATAATTGTTGTTCTGTTTGAGCCCATTGCTGCTGCCACTGTGTCCATCCATCTTGTTGGGGTCTTCCTCTTTTTTGCTGACCCTCCACTTTAGCATGCATGACATACTGTTGAAAGTTAAATTTATGTTAGAGTAAATTTTCTGATTTTGGATAAATACTAGAATAAGTAAAAAAGTATTACTACAAAAAATCATAGAACCCTTTATTAAACAAAAATATCAAAATGTTGTGAAGCCATTGTTTCTTTTTTGTATTTTCTCAAGTTTTTATTTTTATTTTTTTATTTTCTTAAATGTTTTATTGTGAATTATGTGATAGTTTACATGGGAGAACATTAGTTTTACATTCATTCTATCGTATATCATCTCATTGCCATGGTTACAATCCCCTCCATGCAATCCTTCCCCAGTACCCCCCAGTCTTCAGCACACAGTCGCTCTCCCTCTCTGGATCTAAAGTCTCCAGCTGCTCCATCGCTCCACGTCATCATCTCTGGCTCCATTTCAGGCATCACTGCTTCTCTGGGTAGGGTCCCGCTCTCTGCTCTTCTCCCTTGATGGTCCTAGGGACCTCCGCTCCTAGACTGAAAAGTTAATCACTCCCCTCCTTGCTATAAAATGTCTACCTTTACATTTCCAACCCTCACAATCAGTCCTGATAACAATTATTCACTCTTGTATCACAAGAGACCCGTCTGCATTTCATTGTATCAGCTCCGCCTAGTCAGATTGAATACTACTCACTGGAGATTCTACCTTCCTCCAGGCCCTCTGGATCTAGGTTCCCTCTTGAAAGCTTGTAAGCCAGTCACTTCTTGCCTTTGTAGCCCCCTACCCCCCATTTTGGGTAGCCAATGCCCAAGTTGCCCATCCCTGTCTACTCTGTGAGTGGAGGGTGTGGGAATGATTCTTGCTGTAAGGACTTGTTCCCTCTTTTGAGCTACTGCTTCCATAGGTGTAGGTCAAGTTCATCAAATTGTATGAGAATACTTTTTTTTTTCCCCTCTTCTTTTTACTTCTGGTTGAACTCTGATGAAGCCATTGTTTCTTCACATTATGTTTTATCTAGGGCTACATGCTTCTGAAGGCAGTGTCTTCATTTCTCTAACCCCTTCTTGAACAATTCTGCACTTGTCAATTTATAACACATCAACACTGCAGTTCTGGCATCCTTGTGGGGCTCAAAGTGCTACCTTTAAATGTTGAGGGCAAGTTCAAGGCTATAGGGTGGATGGGGTAAGGTTTCCCAAAGAAATTCTTTTAGGATAGCCTTTGCTGAACTCGAAGAATGAGTAGATGCATTGCCAAGATTGAGGAAAAAAGAATTTTTTGGCACAACTTTTCTGGTCTTTTCCTCACCAATGCAGTTTTTGAAGTTTTTCTAAAATTTCTTCACAATAAGCCCTCATGTTGCTCCCATGCCCTTCAAGAAAATCTATCAAGACTAATACTTTGGGGTCTCCCAAATAAACCAGTCATCTTAACCTTCTGAGCTGATCTCTCTGCTTGAGACTGAACTGGCCCAGCAAATCCTCTCACAAACACTTTTGATTGGACCTTCTTTTCTGAAAGCACCCTATCAAGATGGGAACAAGTGTATTTCTGAGAAATCTGCGTGCAGCTACACGCTGATGACAGAGGCATGTTTAAATGTGTTTTGTTTGGAATAAACCTGTGTATGTATAAACTGGATCCCTACTAGCAATCCTTTTTTTAACTGACCCTCACATTATTAAAAAGATGAGGAGAAATAAGCACTTAACATTTCATCCTAATAGGTAGGAAACGCCACACGTCTACACCAAAAAGAACTGGTCTATACTCAACCATTTCAAGTGGTAGTACATGATCAAGACCTGATGGTATTGAAGGAAGAAGTCCAAACTGCACTGAAGGCATTAGCAAAAAACAAGGCCCCGGGAACTGCTGAGTAACAACTGAATTGTTTCAACAAACAGATGCAGTACTGAAAGTGCTAACTAGTCGATGGCCAGCTGACTGGAAGAGGTTCAGCCCATTCCAAAGAGAGGCGGCCCAAAAGAATACAGAACTGATCAAATAATTATCATTAATATCACATGCAAGTAAAATTTTGGTGAAGATAATTCAAGAACGGTAGCAGCAGCACATTGACAGGGAGCTGCTAGAAATTCAAGCTGGATTCAGAAGAAGATATGGAACTAGGAATATCATTGCTCACATCAGATGGATCTTGGCTAAAATCAGAGAATTCCAGAAAGATGTTTATTTGTGTTTTATTGACTATGCAAAGGCATTCAATTGTGTGGATCATAACAAACTATGGATGATATTGTGAAGAATGGGAATTTCGAAACACTTGTGATCATGAGGAACCTGTACATAGACTTAGAGGCAGTTGTTGGAACAGATAAGGGGATATTGCTTGGCTTAAAATCAGGAAACATGGGTGTCGGGTTGTGTCCTTTCACTATACTTACTCAATCTGCATGCCAAGCAAATAATCCGAGAAGCTGAACTAGATGAAGAACGTGGCATCAGGATTGGAGGAAGGCTCATTAACAACCTAAAATATGCAGATGACACAACCTTCCTTGCTGAAATTGAGGACTTGAGGTACTGACTGATGAAGATCAAAGTCTACAGTTCTCAATATGGATTATAAATCAATGTAAAGAAGACTAAAATCCTTACAATGGAACCAATAAACATGCTCAACAGAAAAATCTGAAGTTGTGCAGGATTTCATTTTACTTGGATCCACAATCAGTGCTCATGGAAGCAGCAGTGATAATATCAAATGATGTATTTGTTGCATTGAGAAAAACTGCTACAAAAGACCTCTTTAAAGTTTGAAGACTAAGGTGTGTCTGATTCAAGCCTTGGTATTTTCATTCATCTCATATATATGCATGTGAAAGCTGGACAATGAATAAGGAAGACCAGAAAGGGATTGATACATTTGAATTATGGAGTTGGCAAAGAATATTGAAAATATCATGGACTGCCAGAAGAAAAAACAAATCTGTTTTGGAAGAAGTACAGCAAAAATGCTCCTTAGAAGTGAGGATGGCAAGATTTAGTCTCTTAAACACGTTGTCAGGAGGGATCAGTTCCTGGAGAAGGACACCAAGCCTAGTAGAGGGTCAGTGAAAAAGACGAAGACCCTCAATGAGATGGCGTGCCACAGTTGCTACAACAATGGGCTCACACATAGTAACTGTGAGGATGGCACAGGACAGGATAGTGTTTTGTTCTGTTGTACAAAGGGTCACTATGAGTCATAACTGAATCTATGGCACCTAACGACAACAACAGTTTAGAATCCCCTTTCCTAGAGATATGGAAACCATACAAAGAAAGATCCCCCTTTTCCCTTTGCACGTTGTAAAGGCCCAATGGTGAGTACCACTTTTTTCAAGGATTTGCTCTTTTAATTATTACGCATGTTTTTCAGAATCTAAAACCAAACATTACTTAGAACAGTTACTATACTGGGCATATACCTATGCATGCCTATGACTTCTGAACAGCTCAGAAAGCACTTCTCCTCAGTAAGGGTGTTTACCTAATGGTAAGGGTCGCAGAGCCAACAATGCCTGACCTGTCAGCCCTGCTCAAAATGAAGAAAAAGATCAAGAGAAACCAAAAGTGAAGACTCAGGAGTGGTCAGTGTGCTTACCCATCAGTCTGGCCTTCAGCTATTGCTCTGAGCAGTTCAGAAATGTGCTTCAATGTCTGGCACCAAAGTCTCTGTGGGACATCTGTGGATAAAGGAAGAAGTCAGAGAGGAGCCTATTAGGATCATCTGCAGCTAAGACTGAGCTCTGGGAAATTCCATTTCCTTTGTCTAGTTCACAGAACCCACACTACCACCTGCATGCTTTTTTCCCAGTCAAGGACTCTCCTGGAGTCCCTGGGTGGTGCAGTCACGTGCTTAGCTGAAAAGTTGGTGGTTCAAGTGCACCCAGAGGTGCCTTTGAAGAAAGGTCTGGTGATCTATTTCCAAAAAAACAGCCACTGGAAGTGCTGTGGAGCATCGTTCTGCTCTGACACACAGGGGGTTACCATGCATCAGAGATGACTTGATGACAACTGGTTTGGTTTTGGGGGTATCTCTCACTTATACTTGGAGAAGAAAGATTCACTGGTATTACACAGAGCTAAATGAATCGGGCTGCTAACCTCAGGGTCAGTAGTTCAAAACTACCAGCTGTTCCACGGGAGAAAGATGAGGCTTTCTGCTCCTGTAAAGATTTACAGCCTCAGAAACCCTGTGCAGGGTCACTAAGAGTCGGAACTGACTCCATGGCACATAACAACAACAACAAACATCAAAGAATTCCTAATTCAGGTACAATAAGGCTTCTCTAAGCAGCCCATCCTAGGATTTAGAAATGCTATGTTGTGTTTGCAGGGTTTTCCTCTCCTACCTACCTACTTGCTTGCTGAAAGTGAAGAGGACTTAAAACATTTACTGATGAAGATCAAAGACCATAGCCTTCGGTATGGATTACATCTCAATGTCAAGAAAACAAAACTCCTCACCACTGGACCAATAAACAACATTCTTAGCAATGGAGAAAAGACTGAAGTTGTCAAGGACTTCATGCTTCTTGGATCAATTATCAAAACTCACGGAAGCAGCAGTCAGGAAATCAAACGACGTATTGCATTAGGTAAATCTGCTGCACAAGACCTTTTTAAAGTGTTGAAGAGCAAAGATGTCAGCTTGAGGACTAAGGTGTGCCTGATCCAGGCCAAGGTATTTTCAATAACCTTTTATGCATGTGAAAGCTGAACAGTGAATAAGGAAGACCATAAAAGAATTTATGCTTTTGAGTTATGGTGTTGGAGGAGAATATTGAAAGTGCCATGGGCTGCCAAAAGAACCAACAGATCTG